ACTTAAAGGCACATTCCTGACGATGGGGTGGGCAGGTTCCCAACCAGTGCGCCTTCCTCATAAGCGGCCTTTTTTTGACCTCATTTGGAGAGGTGCACCACCGAGCAAGACGCAATGGTTGGTAACATCCACCCATCCACTTATCGTGGAATGTGTTTTAATTCGTTTTTGTGTCCCTCAAAAATAGAATCACGGTAGCCAGTAATCTGCTCACTTTGATTTTCCTTGTGTCAAGTGTCGTATCCCAATGCCCTTGCCATCATGCACGACTGCACGATGCTCCCAACAATTTTGCTCTTTTCTCCTTTCGCTTTGCACGTTGAGTTGAAGTCCGTTATAGTTAAAGGCAGTGGGCACGATGGCTGAGAGGGGCGGTTACTGCTGTTGTCATCGGTGGAAGGGCTGCGAGTGAGCGTAGTGCCACGCCCCACTCAGCCTTTGCAACAATGACGTTGGCAGTAACGACCCGCCCATAGCCATCGTGTCTGCCTCCGAAGCTAACTAACCATGACTAACGTACGTATAATTTCAGTGAACGACACATTCATAGGTATGTTTCTATGACGTTGTGAAGTGTTTGAGAATTGAAAGTGTTCGTAGATACTGCGTTCTTACTTCGTCGACGATTGCCGGATGAAATGGCAATCCTTTGCGATCCGTTATATGTGAAAAAAGATTCTTGCATGTGTGAAAACGCCTACTGTGAATTGCAACTCCAGTGGCTTTTTGAAGTGCTTTATGGAATTTTACACATTATCCGTTCAGGAATGGGACGAGAAGTTGAAAATCTTATCAAGGAAAATATGGAACTTCTTGATATGAAGAATGCTCTTAACATTGTTAAAAATGATCTTATTGCAAGAGTTGATGAGTTGAGCAGGTGAGGGTTAGCTTTTCAGTATGAAGTTCAGGAGATCCTAGACGTTGCATCACGGGCAAACTAAAAAATATTGCTAGCTAGTTAACTCAACATACCAGTTTGGAGTCAGATTAGATTTGTCAGGGCAGCCTATGCCGTTTATGTCATGGCCCTGTCTGAAAAAAAATCGATGATCGATGGATTGAATTCTTTTATTTTAGGTTTTAAGAACCACTGGATGAACAGATTCCTTTTTCATAAGTACAGTTATTGGATAGTGAGCCAAAAGTGTATAATTGCCAAAGTAATCCAGTAGTGATACTAAAAAACTTTGAAGGCCCGGTCCGTGATAAGGAGCATAGGTAGTGATGTTTTTGGAAAGGGCAGGTTGTCCAGTAACTCGTCTATGAAGAGAAATGCTAAAAGGAACGTCGGGCGCCTTTAATAGGGCCCCCTCCAGCCTTAAGCAAATGTACAAAGAAAACAAGGATCGCATGCTGGAACACGTCCAGTCGGCTGACTCTTGTAGTGAAACCTATAGCCCCAAAAGAGACAATGGAACATCCAATTCATGCGCGT